GCCCTGCCTCTCCCCCGCGCGGGTTCTTCTCCAATGCGTTTTTCAATACATATTTTTCTAATAATTTTTTTTTGTTTATTGCCCCCCCGATACATTTTTTTCCCAGCGCCGGTGTAAATCCACCCCCAGCCTTAGTGCTTTGCTGCCTGCCTGCCGCCGCCGCTCTCCTCTGGGGCCGCACGCTGACCGCCTTCGCCCACCTTTCTCCTCTGCCATCACCACCTGGCACTCAGCACCCGTAATTAATTAGGTAGCCAAAGCCCCCAAAGAGGGATCTGTTTTGGTTTGGTCTGGATAAACGCCAGGTGCCCCCAAAACGGCTCTGTCACTCCCGCTCCTCAGCTGGACAGGGGAGAGGGAATAAGATGAAAGGGTCGAGGGTCGAGGTGGGGACAGGGAGAGATCACTCACCAGTTGCCGTCACGGGCAAAACACACTGAACTTGGGGAGAAAAGGGAGTTTAATTCATCACCCATCAAATCAGAGTAGGATAATGAGAAATAAAACCAGATCTTTAACATCTTCCCCCACCTCTCCCTTCTTCCTGGGCTCAGCTTCAATCCTGTTTCTCTCCCTCCCTTCCCCGAGTGGCGCAGGGGGACGGGGAATGGGGGTTATGGTCTGGGAAAAACAGCTTTATGCTTGCCCTGCATCATTCATGAAGCAAACCCAAGGCAGGAAAGTATTTCAAGAATCTCTTCCTAAGAGGAGCACCATGTGGTTTCAGTTAAGTTAGGAAGTACAGACGAGCCGGCTTCCACATCAGTGTTTTGGGTAGAGTGAAAACATTCCCTGAACTTGAGTTTCAGTTCTGCATGAAGTCTTCGAGACATGAAAGCAAAGGCAAATTTTCAAAGGCTCCACCGAGTGTATTCTTACAACTGCACTCAGCCTCACCGAGCGTTTTCTGGGCACCCGCTGCCTCAGACAGAGCTGCACACAAACCTACCCTCTGTACTGCTCGGGAGCGTACCGGCGAGCGAAATAACTGGAGGACGTGAAAGAACGCGCTCCTGCTACGCTTCACTGATCGCAAACAAACACAGAAAGAAAAATACACAAGTGCACACCCACTAAATTCATCTTCTGCAGTCATCAGTGAAATCATATCCTTCCCACTCGCCTCCTACAAGAACCATTAAGTTTTTCACCAGCTCTGTTAAAGCCTTGGGTAATTCTGCTGCGTTCTGGCTCCTTGGCCTCAAGTTGCATTAAGGGAGGCTCAGTTTGGATATTAGGAAAAATTTCTTTACTGCAAGAGTGGTCAGGCGTTGGACCAGGCTGCCCAAGGAGGTGGTGAAGCCACCACATCTGGAAGGGTTCAAAAAACGTGTAGATGTGGCACTTCAGGACATGGTTTAGCAGGCGTGGGGGTGTTGGGGGGACGGTTGGACTCGATGATCTTAGAGGTCTTTTCCAATCTATGATTCTGTGATGATTCTTCTCACAGAAGCCACCCCTACAGCCCCCCCGCTACCAAAACCTCACCACGCAAGCCCACAACAGGATCCTAAACCCCTTTTTTAAAAAATCAGTATCTTTGCGTGTGAGGCTGCAGACCGCTTCCAAAGAGGGTTTTGCAAGGGGTCCCTGGTCTGAGTGGAATTAGCTGGCGGCTGGGTTTGGTTTCCCAGCTGTCAAACCCTGAGGACCGACGGCCTCCGCGGTGCGCGAGCAGGTAACGAAGCGGAGTTTTGCTCTGCTAAGCAGTCGCAAACTGGGCTGAAACCCTCCAGCGTTCTAATAAAGCATTAAAAATTCATGGCATGGCAAAAACCCAAGAGTGATATTTGTTTTGCTAAAGCAAATCTTACACATTCGGTAAAATTAAGATCATCAGCAAAAAAAAATAAGACAGCAAACGTGTATTTTTTTCACAAGTAGCTTCCTGATGGCAGAACTTGCTTTAGTGGCTGGGGGGTCCCCCCTTCCCATTTTGGCAGCTCCGATTTCCTGCATCCACCAGGCTTCTTGCCCCGGCTCCCAGCCTGGCACCGCAGCCCGTCCCGCAGAGCTGTGTTCGACGCAGGACTGGGACATCTGGAAGTGGCCATCATGCTGCTGGGCTTCCCTTCCAGCAGACCATTTCGTCCATCTGACCTGTTACTGGGCGACATGGAAGGGTGCAGAAGTAGGAGTGGGGGTCTAGGAAGCAGGTTTTTATGGCTGATAGAGGTTGCTTGTGCTGATATTCACTAAAAATGAAAAATCAGAGGGAGGGACTGGTGACCAAACCAGCCCAGAGTTGGGACTGGAGGGCAGAGCTGAAGAAAAATTACAAATCCAGAAGATACCTCCTGGTGTCTGATTGTCCCCTTTGTGCTCCTCGGGGAAACAACAGGCTTGGGCCAAGGATACGCCTCACACCATGCAAATTCAGGCAAACTGAGGGCTATGGGATGTCTCTTTTTGGCTCCCTGCCATCGCAGCCTCAGCCAAATAAAGGATTTCCCGGGCTCACGGTGCTGCTGTTGCGCAGCTGAGCGAAGCCACGTCACCTCCCGACGCGTCCGAGCCCCGACAGCCACAGCCGCCCGTAGAAAAGGCACAATAACTCCTGGCTTTTTCCCTCGCCGCCCGCTCCGCGGGGACGTCTCCCTGCTGTGTCTGCTGTCTGGGCTCAGACATTTCATTTACCGAGGGCAGACGCTGCGTTTTGCCAGCGTGGGTGTCTGCCTCGGGCGGATTCGTTATCGGTGACTTCTTCCTCTGCTTCACCAGTGCCAACAGCATCGCTTCTTTAGCGGCTGCACTCACATATTTTCCTTGCTTTACAGCAAAATCCCATCCCTGTTGCTGATGGGGAACTTGTATCTTGGTGTAAATCTAAATATTTTGTATGGCCGGGTTCAGCCGCTGTGGGGGGAGATCTGTGGGGGGCAGAGGGAGTGGAATGACATCGAAATTCCCCATCCCGGGAGAGCAAACCTCTCCTGATGGGTGCTACAAAAATACACAACTGGCCCGTGCTGACCAGTTCTGGGGTCCCCAGTTCAAGAAAGATGAGGAGCTACTGGAGAGAGGAGAGTCCAGCGGAGGGCTACGAGGATGAGGAGGGGACCGGAGCATCTCTGCTACGAGGAGAGGCTGAGGGAGCTGGGCTTGTTCAGCCTGGAGAAGAGAAGGCTGAGAGGGGA